CCCCCCCCCCCCCCCCGGGGTTCTTTACAACTTAATCAGTTCAATAAAAATAGGTATAAATTATCTGGAAAAAGTTGCCCACATGCACCAGCATTTTGATTTTACCTTACAAGAGCCCAGACTTTTTCTGTAACAAGAAGTAAAGACCCCTGTGAACTCAAGCTTTCTGAATTGCAGCCTGATCCCTCAGTTCCATGCCAGTGATTTTATACAACTAGCAGGATGCTAGTATATCAGGGCCTGTATCTGTGAAATCAAAGTGAATTTGTCTGAGCTCACTGCCATGAGTAGAGCTTCACTTGGAAGCAGCCACCAGCCCCATCTCTTTCACTCTGCAACCCCCACACCCAGGATCACAACGGTCCTTGCCTGTATTAGTTCCACTATTTGATAGTTAGTGCCTGCAATCAGTAGTTCTATTATGTACATTCCTGATCCAGTTTTATGTTTTTAGTGCAAATGATTCACTATCACTGGAGAAAGAGAAGAATTAGAACCGCCTTGTTTTTGTGTGCGCTGGAATTTAGTTGCCTGGGTATTCAAACACTGCAGCAGCTCCCATACCGGTTCCAATGCACATGGACACCACACCGTATGCTCTGGAACAGAACAAAGGAGTCAAATCGTTAGAAAAACAGCTCCAGTTCTAAACCGGCCAAGAAAAATGTCAGAGGAGATAAACTTGAGCTACCCATGGCTCTTTCAACTGGCCACAAGGCACAAGAGCTGATACAGGAGCAGTCATTCCTTCCCAGGTCCTAAGCCAGGGATAGCCAACAAGAGGGTCTGAGATGGGGCAATTCTGCCTTGGTTCAGGTTATCACAGCAAGGAAGAAGCCTTTGCTGTGGTAACGGGGAATCAGGTTAGTGCAAAATATTCTCAGCAGGCTGCCCTCCTCCCTGAAGAGGGCTAAGCTACTATCTCCTCCAGGTCAATGTTGAGACTCTTCTGCTGCCATCCAGGCTTTGTGGAAAAACAAGCTCTATGGAAATCTGCCAAGATGCTACATTCAAGTATCTCTGCTTCAGCTGAAGAGATCCAAATTGCTCTTACTCAACTCACTGAGCAGTTTGCAGCCTGCCAGCCCCTCCTCTCCTCCGTGCTAGTTGAGAGGCACAGAAAATGTCCCATTTCTTAGAACAGGGTGTATCAAAGGCTCCGTGTTGCCACACCACAGAGGCAAACATGCAGCTACTCTGAAGCAGGGGGGCACTTACAGGTCTTTAACACTCACCTTTTCCCCCTGCGCTTCAATTCATTGAGCAAAGTGACAACTTGACGAGCTCCAGTGCAGCCCAGAGGGTGTCCCAGTGCGATTGCTCCTCCAAGGGGGTTCACCTTCTCCATTGGGATGCCCAGTTTCTCAACACAGTATACAGCCTAGGAAGATAAGTTGAGAATACCCCTGTGAAAGCACTGGCCTGCACATCAGCTCCTTCAGCATCTATCCCACAATGGAGAGCAAAGAGGACTGCAAAAATACTGGGAGTCCCAAGTCTTTATAGTTAGTGGAATACAAGCTAGCCAACCAAACACATACCTCCTGCAGGCCTGTTGGCTTCAGGGAGTTTGGACCAAGGGTGAATTTAGCCCCAAACACCCACCTTAAAGGAAAACACAGGGCATTCTGATTCACTACTTCAAATAAGCATTAAGCCTCCCCCCAAAAAAACACCACCACTGGGTTAGTGACTGCACCTGTACAATTTGTGTATTCAGTTAGGTAGTAGGCCTGTCCTTAGCAACACCCATAAATCACCATGGAAGGCAGGGGAACTAGACTGCCCATGTAGAGCCAGCTGAGAGCTATGCCAGGCTGATATACTGTAAACAGGCAATCAGGTGCAACTACAGAGACTGTAACAGCAAGTAAATCTGGCTGGTTTCTAGGGCAGGTCTCCTGTCTTCAGCTCTCAAAAGGGAAGTGTCTGGGCAGATTCTTATCCTGAACCCTTGTTATGAAACAGCGGGAAGATGACAAGTTTACACAGACACCCTACTCGGAGGAAAAGGCAGCAAGAGGGCACAGCAGCCCCCCTGGGTCTCCAGGGACCTAGCAGATCTCCTGAGGCTAAAAAGAAAGGCCTACAAAGGATGGAGGATGGGAGTCACCTCCAAGGAGGATTATTCTGCACTGGTCCGGTCCTGTAGGGAGCAGACCAGGAAAGCCAAGGCTGCAACTGAACTCCAGCTAGCTTTGAGCATCAAGGACAATAAGAAGTCCTTTTTCAGATGTGTGGGGAGCCGGAGGAAAAGCAGGGGCAACATTGGACCCCTGCTGACCCAGATGGGGCAACTGACAACTGACAACTGACGCCCAGGAAAAAGCCAACCTATTAAATAGGTACTTTGCGTCAGTCTTTCATCAGTCCCATGGGA